CCGCCCCATCGACCCTAGGCCCCGGCGCCCCATCGACCCTAGGCCCCGGCGCCCCGTCGACCCTAGGAGTGGGCTATGGCGAGGAGAACTGGAGGCCGAAGCGCTGAAGGACCTGGTGCACCATGTATGACTGAGTCAAGGTGATGGTGCGCCGTTCACCCAGGTCAGTGCAAGTGTGTCTCTTCTGCAGCTCCGACTTCACAAGGGTCAGTGCCTCAGTGTCAGCAGTGGCAAAAACCAAGTCGGTGTCGGTGCGTAGAAACAGCAAGGTGTCAGCAGTAGAAGGAGCAAACCCATGAGGACGTAGACGAGGACGTAGAAAGGCGGCAGCGAGGTGTCGGTGCGTAGAAACAGCGACGGGTCAGCAGTAGAAGGAGCAAACCCAAGAGCCGCAAGTGTAGTCCTCAGTGTAACGTGCCACTCGCGAGGCGCCTGGCGGATACCGTAGACTGGCCGCAAGAGGCTCCACTGGGTACCTGCAGGAAACGACCCAGTGAAGCCAGGTGGGCAGCGCAGCCAGATCTCCTCGTGCAAGCTGCCCTGCAAGAAAGGTGTACTGAAGTCCAGAGAGTGCAACTTGTAGTCACGCTGAGCAGCGACGTGCAGCAACACCCAAACAGTGGTCATCTTCGGGGTGGGGGAGAAGGTCTAGAAGTAGTCAACCCCCTGTCGCTGACTGAAGCCTCGAGCAACGTACTGGCCTTGAAGGCAGGCGGAGAATCCGGCGGCCGCTTCACGCTGAAAATCCACATGCCATTGACTATGTTCGCCCGAGATGGGGGAACTGCGTCGATGTAGGTGCCTGTGGACTTCCAGGATGCCATCTCGGCATCCATGGCTGCCTCCCACTGAGAGGAGTAAGGACCCATAATTGCCTCTACGTAAGAGCGCGGGGTCGGGATGTCTGGAGCATCCGGGTCTCCCTCAAGGGCAAGCAGCATGGAAGCGAAACAAGGTACAACAGCTGCGAGACACTCAATGTCCTCCTGCTTGTCCTCAAGGACGTTCGTGCCAAGAGCAAACTCACCCCGACGGACGGAGGACTGGCAGACTCAGACTCAGCAACAAGAGCAATGGCGTAGTCTAGCCGACAGGCAGCAGCAAAGTCAACGAGCTCAGCAACGAGGGCAGACGCAGGAGTGGACTCAAAGGAAGGGTCAGTGACAACTGTGGCAAGGAGACGAGAGATAGTGGGACTTGCAGCACGAGCACGGTCAGACTTAGGGTCACGGATAGCAGGAAGAGAGGACTCAGGAGGAGGCGGAAGAGGAACACACAGTGGAACAGAGGAAGGATGAAGTATTATAGCGTGTGTGTCGGGGACAGGAGGAGGACGTGGACGAGGAACGCGACGACCAGTGCGAGCAGGGGAGGCAAGACGAGACGCAGGCTCACGACGCTCTGTAAGACCGCCGGTCTGCTTAGTGTAAGGAGAAGGAGCAGGTAGTGGGGAGGCTGGCTGTAACGGCGGCTGCGACTAGTCAGGCGGTGGATACAGTAAGGGAGGAGTAAGGCCAGTAGAAGACGAGACACCAAGAACCTGCTGAAGCAGGGGAACAAAGTACGGTCGTGGCCGCACAGTGCCACCAGCACCTCTAGCTCCACAGTCAACTGCTCCAGCTCCTTCAGCTCCAGCGCCTCCAGCGCCAGTGCCTCCAGCTCCAGAGTCAACACCTCCAGCTCCTCCAGCTCCTGCGCCTCCAGCGCCAGTTCCTCCAGCTCCAGCGCCAACAACTCTAACTCCTCCAGTCCCAGCAGCTCCAGGCTCCGTAGCGTCTCCAACTCCAACTCCCTCAACACCACCAGTCCCGGCAGCTCCAGTACCCCCGGTACGAGCACCTCCACGACCAGCAGCTGCAGCACCTCCGTTACTAGCTCTAGCAGTAACTCCAGCACCTCCAGCTCCAGTGTCTCCAGTGGCAGATTCTCGAGCTCCGGTAGCTCCACTCCAAAGGTGGGTGTGCTGAGCAAACCACTCGCGCAGCTGCTGCGGGGAGAGAGGCTCCGGTCGGGGAGACAGTCGTGGTGGAGCACCCACCGGACCTCCAAAAGAAGCAGTACCCCTCGACTCAGCACCCCCAGACGTAGTACCCCCAAGCTCCACTCCCGCAGGCTCAAGACCCCCAGGCTCCACACCCCAAAGCTCTGCACCCCCAGACCCGGCACACTCCGACTCCTCACCCCCAGGCTCCGCACCCCCAGACCCGGCACCCTTAGACTCCGCACCCCCAGGCTCCGCACCCCCAAACGCAGCACCCCCAGATGCAGCACCTGGAGCAGCACCAGAGCCGACAGCTACCTCAACAGGCGTAATACCAGGGAGAGGGTCTACCTGAGACACACCTGAGGGAGCAGGACCCTGGGGGGACCTGGAGCAAGGAAGAGCGGCGGGGGTGGGGGAGGAGCAGAGCGGTAGGTGAAGAGACGGTAAAAGGGAACCGACTCGTCAAAAGTGACGTCTTGAGAGGGGAAGACACGGCGCGAGGTGGGGTGGTAAAACTGCCAGCCAGGCGCGTCAGGGGAAAAGCCAAGGAAGACGCAGGGAATAGCGCGGGCGGAGAGCTTGTCCGCTGACGTATCGCAAACAAAGGCACGAGAACCCCAGACCCAGAACACCGACACAGAGCCAACCTTCCCCGTCCAACACAGTGTAGGCGAGATCTCCGGCAAGGAGACATGGGGCCAGAGGTTGAGCTGATGCGCAGCGTACCGGACTGCAAACGGCAAAAAAAAATGGGGAGCATCCGCATGGATCATGGAGGTACGAGCGACCTCCATGACTAGGCCAATGCGGCGCTCAGCAATCCCATTTTGCTGAGGGGAGTCTGGAAGCGTGAACGACTAGAGAATGCCCTCCCCACGACAAAAGTCCCGCAAGAGGTCGGAGGAGAACTCACCACCTCTGTCAGAGTGCAGATGCAGGACAGAAAGGTCCGTACGGAACCGCTCGCGGAGCTGGAGACGGACTGCGTGGATCCAAGGGATCAAGACATCAACGACCTGACCCTTGCTGCGCAAGGGGAAGACCGTGGTGTACCGCGTGTAGTTTTCAACAACCAGCAGAAAGTAGCGCTCGCGGCCCTGTCCACTGTCACGGGCTGGGCCCCATACGTTCATGTGGAGAGTCTGCAGGGGAGCAGTCGTCGGGGGAAACGAGGAGTGCGGAGCGGCGCGCTGCCGCCCCTCGACACAAGGAAGGCAGGGCGGGGCAGGCGAGGGTGGGAGGGGAGGCAGAGACCTGGGAAGACCAGAGACAAGGAGGCGGGAGTGCATGCCACGAAAGTGTGGCAAGGAGGGGTGACCCAGGCGGTGGTGCCACAGAAGGGTCTGGTGCGACAGGAGGCGACACAAGCAAGGGGGTGCTACCTGGAGGGAAGTGGTACTCACCAAGTTCGTAGAGAACGAGGGGAGGTGAAGGCCTGACAGTGAGCCGGACGGAACCGCCAGACACGAGAGCACAGTGGAGGAACGGGCGAGGACTGGGTCCCCGGAGGGGTCAGCCAACCTGACCGGTACAGGTGCAGAGAGAGGAGTGAGGGTGGTGCTGTCGCGAAAGAAACAGCGTGAGGCACCTGAGTCCAGTGTGAAGGTGTGCAAGGCCTCAGCAGGCGCAGTACTAGGGAGAACAGACTCACTAGCACCTAGAGCAGCAGCCTCTATTCCTGGGTCAGGCGGCACACACAGGTAACTGTCACCCTCAGCACTAACAGACAGAGCATACATAGCAGCAAGGATAGCATCATAGTCTAGGTCAAAGATAGCAACTCCAGACCTAAGCAGCTCTGCCCAGCAGGGGCGCTCGGCCTTGTCACCAGACTCTGCGCGCCAAGTGTCGTCGAGGCGGGAGAAGCAGCGGTGCTAAGTGTGAAGCTTCCCGGATGTCTGACCAGCACGGTTACCCGTGCGAATGACATACGGGCAGCTAACACTACCCCCAGACGCCCCACGCTGAGCAAACCACTCACGAAGCTGCTGGGGCGACGGGGTCTCGCTCCGACGCTGCTGCTGCTGCCTTTGTCCTCCTCCAGAACCTCCACTCTGAGCTCCAGTCCGACCGCTGCCACTCCCACCGCTGCCACTACCGCCACTCCCACCGCTGCCTCCACCGCCGCCACCAAAGCCCCCACTCCCGCCACCACTCCCACCGCTGCCACCACCTCCACTGCCTCCACTGCTGCCCCCATTACCACCCCCGCTGTCACCGCCACCACCCCTGCCACCCTTGCCCTTGCTGGTGCGGCGCTTCGCACTAGTAGAAGTAGCCTCGACGTCCTCAGCACCTTGGACGGCAGCAGCAGCAGCAGAGGCGTAGGAGGGGACAAGGGGGGAGGGGGAGCACCCCCCAAAGAAGGGCGTGCGCGGAGTACCACGAGCAGCACCTACAGCGACTACACTAGTCTCAGCTGCAAGGAGGTGCTGCTCGAGAAGGTCAACAGTGAGGGCTGTGGGGTCAAGTGCGAGAAAGTGGTCCCTAACAGCGCGAAGAGAGTCAGGGAGGCGGGTGAGTATGAAGTAAAGAGTGATGTACATCGGGGGTGGGTTCTTGGCAAGGAACTGTGCTGGGAGGGCAGCGCGGTAGCGAGCGTCGCTAGTGCGAAGGTGGGAAACCAGATCCTCTACTGTGGCAAAAGCGGACAGCTCGGGAAACAGGTAGGGCAGCAGAAGACGGCCTAGAGAAGCAGTGGCAGGCGAGGAGTAACGGGCGACTGTGCTGTCCTATGCTGTCCAAATTGAGCGCATTCGGCTAACGGCAGGTGGTTGCGAATGGCTAAGCGAGCAACACCGTCACGAGTAAGCCACTGTGAGCGAGTCGCACTGTCAGCGGTGGCGTAAGGGGCGGGAGCAGCACCAGACGTATGGTCAAACAACGAAACGCTGTCCCTAGAGTCGCTCAGGAGGTACAGCTGCAGGTCGTCAAGCCACGTGTCAAACTGGATCGGGCGGCCCTCATGATGGAACGCAAGAATGCGAAGAGAAGCCATAGCGGTGCAGTACGCTAGGTGGGCAGAAGTAGGGCAGCGCATAGGGGGGGGGGGTGCGAGCGAGCTGCGAGACGGCAGTGCGCAGGCTGCTAGGGGCGGTGTAGAGGAAGCAATAGGTGACGCGCGGGCTGCATGGGGGGGTGGCAAGCGGGCCTTAAGCGGGCGGCGAGCGGGCAGCAGAGGGTGCTGGCGGGCTGAGACAGGCGGCTCGCGGGCGGAAGAGGCGGCTGGCGGGCCATTAGCAGGCGGCGCGCGGGTGGCAGGGGCAGCTGGCGGGCCGATAGAGGGCGGCGCGCAGGCAGCAGGGGTGGCTGGCGGGCCGCTAGCAGGCGGCGCGCGGGCGGCAGGGGCGGCGGGCGGGCCGTAGCGAGCGGTGCGCGGGCGGCAGCGGGCGGCTGGCGGGCCGCTCGCAGGCGGCGCGCGGGCGGCGGGGGCGGCGGGCGGGCCGTAGCGGGCGGCGTGCGGGCGGCAGCGGGCGGCTGGCGGGCTGCTAGCAGGCAGCGCGCGGGCGGGCCGTATCAGGCGGCGCACGGGCGGTAGGGGCGGTTGGCGTGCTGTTAGCAGGCGGCGCACGGGCGGCGGGGGCGGCGGGCGGGCCGATAGCGGGCGGCGCGCTGGCAGCAGGGGCGGCTGGTGGGCCGATAGCAAGCGGCGCGCGGGCGGCATGGGGTGGGGCGGGGGGGCGGCTGGTGGGCCTATAGCAAGCGGCGTGCGGGAGGCAGATGCAGCTGGCGGGCCGATCGCGGGCTGCGCAAGGGCGGTAGGAGCGCCGGGCGAGCCGCTAGCGGGTGGCTCGCGGGCTGCAGAGGTGGCTGGCGGACCGCTGGTGGGCGGCGCGCGGGCGGCAGGGGCTGCTGGCGAGCCGCTGGCAGGCGACGCGCTAGCTGCAGGGGTGGTGGGCGGGTCGCTAGCGGGCGACGCGCTGGCTGCAGGGGGCGGCTCGAGGGCCGTGACGAGAGGGGCGGGCGGGTCGTGGGCTGCTAGGGGCAGCGTGACTAGCTGCTAGGGGCAGTTCGTGGGGCAGCTCTGTGGTGGGCCCTAAAAAAAACGGTCCTAGCGAAGGACCTGCTCTGAAACCATGTCAGAAGAATGAACGAGAATGAATGAACTATGAAACAGTCGGGCACAAGTACCAACCCTAATTGGGTTGTACCCCTTATGGGCCACCTTACTATAGCCTACACAAATGTAAGCACCATAATATTCTGACACTGCGGACCAATGGTGCGAGCCAGTGAGGCCCAGTCGGGGATAGTTCTCCCAAGGCCGGACAGTGCACGGTAGCGGTCCGTGAGCTGCGCAAAGCACTGACCCAGAGGGTGGAGGCAGCCACAAGGGCCGTCTCGACGTGACCCGGTCCGTCCCCAGTACTGGCAAGGAGTCAAGGCTGGACCACGCGTTGACCAGTTGGGCGGGCCACTGCTGCGGACAGTGTTCCCTGGTCCGGCGGAGTTATCGCCTCCCCCACTTCGTGCCGAACAGGAGAAAACGCTAGCGACGCTTCAACGACTTAAGGCGATGCTTGCGAACCAGTCAGCAGCTGCCACGGTAGCAGCGAACGCAGCAGCGATAGCAGCAACGGTGGTAGCGACACTGATATTGGTACGTGCAACAACGGCCCAACTAAAGTCAACCTCGAAACAGTAAAGCCGAGGCTGCCGAAAGCGTTCGATCCCAACGCGAAGGGGAGCAACGTCTGTCGATTCGTAGCTGTGCTCGATATTTATTTCTAGGCCGTTGGATGCACGACCCCGACCAACGATGCAATCCGAATTCGGCTCGCGGCAACTCTGTTACTAGGGTCGGCAATGGAGTGAATCTATAGTAATGCAATCGTCCAAGGCGAAGGGTCGTGGGCGCAGTTCCAGGCTGCTTTCAGCGTTTCGAACCAATCAATACCTCGTACATGGCACGGAAGCAGATACACCGATATAAACAATCCGACAGCGTAGCGCAGTACACGCAGCAGATGGAGTACTTTTTTAACTGCATCGACGACCTCACCAAAGGAGAAAGTAATTCAAGCCTACACCGCCTAACCAAGAATCGAAGTTCACTGACAAGTGATCGCAGCGAATTACAGCAACTAATTGTCAAACCGAAACATGACGCCACACGCCGAACAAGGATTTCAGCGTGGAGCAATCGGCACCCCCCACGACTGCCGATTCGATGGATATCTGCTAGAATCTAGAATAGAACGAGAATGCATGAAACTAGGTAGGAGGGGGATACAAGTAGGAAACCCTAACAAAGCTGTACCCCCTAAGGCTAAACCCACTATAGCCTACACAATATAAACATATAATGTTTGACACACCCCCATAGGCTAAGTGGGAGACAACCAGATGGTCACAAGACCAGTCAAAGCAAAGCAAAACAAGCTCAGGGTGGATCTCAAGGAAACCACACAAATTCTGAGCACAAGCAAGTGGTCACAAGACCAGTTCACATGCAGGTTGATAGTATAACAAGAGATACAGTGATCACAACCTAGCAAGAGTAAACAAGCAGGTATATATACAGAGATCACAGTACAAGCAGAGTCAAGAAGTAAGCAAGTGAGGCCCAGTAGGCACGAGGCCTAGAATAGTACAGAAGCGCTGATGGTCACAAGGCTGAAGCGCCTTGGTGAACACATCAGCAGTGTTGGCCCGAGTGGCCACGTAACGCAGACGAAGCTGACCGCGCTGCTGCAGCTCTCGAGCAAGGAAGTAGCGCAGAGCGATATGCTTCGTTCTGTGCTCCAGTCTGTGCTCCTCACACAAGGCAATGGCAGCCTTGTTGTCGACGTACACCACTGGAGGAGAACGAGGCCGCTCTCCCAAGTCGGTCAGCAGGTAGGTGAGCCAGCGTAACTCCTGTGCAGCCATGGCTGTGGCGTAGATCTCAGCCTCACAACTGGAGCTGAGTACAGAAGACGAGCGTGTAGAACGCCAAGAAACTGAACCAGAGCCAAGGCTGAAGGTGTAACCCTGAGACGACCGCTGAGTAGCCTGGTCGTCAGCCCAAGACGCGTCTGAGTGCCCAGTGAGTACAGCTCGGTCTCGTCCTCCAAGCACTAGTCCCATGCCCGACGTACTGCACAAGTAGCGCAACACCCTCTTAGCGGCATCCATGTGCTCCTTCCGGTGACGGCCAGGAGCGACATAGCGTGCAAGGATGCTAAGAGGGTATGCAAGGTCAGGTCGAGTGCAGGTCATCAGGTACATGAGGCAGCCCACAAGCTCTGGATACGGGCCACTCGGCTCTACGGACTCATCCGAAGGCAGAGCTGAGAGCGAGTGACCGGTAGGCAGAGGAGTGGGCTGAGGCGAGGAGTACGTGAAGCGGAAGCGCTGAAGGACCTGCTGCACCATGTGTGACTGAGTCAAGGTGATGGTGCGCCGTGCTCTGTCCCGGGTGATCCGCAAGCCAAGATAGATTGTCAGTTCACCCAGGTCTGTGCACGTGTGTCTCTTCTGCAGCTCCGACTTCACGTGGGCGAGTGCCGCAGTGTCAGCAGTGGCAAAGACCAAGTCGTCGACGTACACGAGGATGTAGAACGGCGGCAGTGAGGTGTCGGTGCGTAGAAACAGCGACGGGTCAGCAGTAGAAGGAGCGAACCCAAGAGCCGCAAGTGTAGTCCTCAGTGTGTCGTGCCACTCACGTGGCGCCTGTCGGAGACCGTAGACTGGCCGCCGGAGGCTCCACTGGGTACCAGGAGGGAACGACCCAGTGAAGCCAGGTGGGCGGCGCAGCCAGATCTCCTCGTGCAGGCTGCCCTGTAGGAAAGCAGTGCTGAAGTCAAGAGAGTGGAGCTCGTGGTCACGCTGAGCGGCGACGTGCAGCAGAACCCGAAGAGTGGTCATCTTCGGGGTCGGGGAGAAGGTCTGGAAGAAGTCAACTCCCTCTCGCTGATTGAAGCCTCGTCCAACGTAACGCGCCTTGAAGACAGGCGGAGAACCCGGCGGTCGCTTCACCCTGAAAATCCACATGCCACTGACGATGTTCGCCCCAGGTGGGGGAACCTCGTCGACGTAGGTGCCTGTGGACTTCCAGGAAGCCATCTCTGCGTCCATGGCTGTCTGCCACTGAGAGGAGTAGGGACCCTCTATCGCCTCTGCGTAAGAGCGCGGAGTCGGGATGTCTGGTGCATCCGGGTCTCCCTCACGGGCAACTAGCATGGACACGAGATGAGGTAAAGCAGCGGCAAAGCACTCAAACTCCTCCTGCCTGTCCTCAAGGACGTCCGTGCCAAGAGCACACTCACCCCCGACGGACGGAGGACAGACAGACTCAGACTCAGCAACTAGGCTAGCGGCGTAGTCTAGACGACAAGTTGCAGCAAAGTCGACAAGCTCGGCAACTAAGGCAGACGCAGCAGTGGACTCAAAGGAAGGGTCAGTGACAACAGTAGCCAGGAGACGCGTGACAGTAGGACTGGCAGCACGAAGGGAGTCAGAGGAAGAGACGGGAGAGCAGGACGAGAGGACGCAGGAGGAGACGGGAGAGGGACACGCTGGGGAGCAGTGGAAGGACGAAGCGCCGTCTGGTGAGTGCCTGGGACAGCAGGAGGACGCTGACGCGGGACACGACGACCAGTGTGAGCAGCACGAACAGGCGACGCTCGACGAGACTCAGGCGACGCAGGACGAGACTCAGGCTCACGACGCTCCGTAAGACCTCCAGTCGGACCAGTGTAAGGAGAATGACCAGGGAGAGGGGAGTCAGACGGTAACTGTGATTGCGACTGGACAGACGGAGGACACTCTAAGGAGGGAGGAGGACAAGGATGAGGAGGCGGACCAAGAACCTGCTGAAGGAGCGGAACGAAGTACGACCGCGGCCGCGCAGCGTCTCCAGAACCAGCAGAGACACCAGCGCCAGGGTCCTCAGCACCAGCAGCAGCTCCACCTCCAGGGTCCTCAGCACCAGCAGCAGCTCCAACTCCAGGGTCCGCAGCACCAGCAGCAGCTCCGACTCCAGGGTCCGCAGCACCAGCAGCAACTCCAACGCCCGGGTCCGCAGCACCAGCCGCACCTCCAGAAGAAGCAGCACCTCCAGCAGCTCCAGCAGCCCCAGCACCAGCAGCACCTCCAGCAGCTCCAGCAGCACCAGCAGTACCACCAGCACCAGCAGCACCTCTAGTAGCGTCAGCAGCACCAGCAGCTCCAGCACCAGCAGTACCTCCAGCAGCGCCAGAAGCACCGCCAGCAGCAGAACCTCCAGCAGCTGGGTCCGCGACACTAGGAGCGCCACTCCGAAGACTGCAGCGCCGTGCGTACCACTCTCGGAGCCGCTGGGGAGAGGGCAGCTCCCGCCTAGGAGGGGAAGCACTAGCACCAGCTCCAGCAGTACTCCTGGCTCCAGAAGCACCTCTCCTGA